ACGAATCACCGCTTTAATTCCTTAGGCTATCGTCTGAGAAAACTATTCCGTCTCATAATGATAATTCCTCGCCTGAAAAAGAAGTTACAGGTAAATTTTAGTTGTTTCCTGTCGTTTCTTGGTAAAAGTTTTATGTCTTTACAATCTTTTAATTCTTCCTTATCTTTTACTTGAGTTACTTAGACGACCTGATCTCGCTCCTGCTATGAATGTAAGCATTAATTTCTATATCAGGACCTGTGATTTCTATCACTTTTCTTCACTTTTCCAATGATCCTCACTCATCCTGATATGAATGTAAGCATTAATTTCTATATCAGGACCTGTGATTTCTATCACTTTTCTTCACTTTTCCAATGATCCTCACTCATCCTGCTATGAATGTAAGCATTAATTTCTATATCAGGACCTGTGATTTCTATCACTTTTCTTCACTTTTCCAATGATCCTCACTCATCCTGATATGAATGTAAGCATTAATTTCTATATCAGGACCTGTGATTTCTATCACTTTTCTTCTTTTCCAATGATCCTCACTCATCCTGATATGAATGTAAGCATTAATTTCTATATCAGGACCTGTGATTTCTATCACTTTTCTTCACTTTCCAATGATCCTCACTCATCCTGATATGAATGTAAGCATTAATTTCTATATCAGGACCTGTGATTTCTATCCTTTTCTTCACTTTTCCAATGATCCTCCTCATCCTGATATGAATGTAAGCATTAATTTCTATATCAGGACCTGTGATTTCTATCACTTTTCTTCACTTTTCCAATGATCCTCACTCATCCTGATATGAATGTAAGCATTAATTTCTATATCAGGACCTGTGATTTCTATCACTTTTCTTCACTTTTCCAATGATCCTCACTCATCCTGATATGAATGTAAGCATTAATTTCTATATCAGGACCTGTGATTTCTATCACTTTTCTTCACTTTTCCAATGATCCTCACTCATCCTGATATGAAATGCATTAATTTCTTTAAGGACCTGTGATTTCTATCACTTTTCTTACTTTTCAAGGATCCTCACTCATTTGAATGTCATTAATTTCTATATCAGGACCTTTGATTTCAATCACTTTTCCTTTTCAATGATCCTCACTCATCCTGATATGAATGTAAGCATTAATTTCTATATCAGGACCTGTGATTTCTATCACTTTTCTTCACTTTTCCAATGATCCTCACTCATCCTGATATGAATGTAAGCATTAATTTCTTTATCAGGACCTAATTTTATATCATTGTTTTTGTTCTTTTTAAGAGTCCTCATTTATCCTGCTATGAATAAAAGTATTAATTTCTTTATTAGGACCTATTTTCTGAGTGTAGCAACTGGAAAATCATTTGCAAACACCTCCCCGATTAAATGATGTGAACTAATTTTAGTGTAAAAATTCTTAAAAGCAACCCTCCTCTCAAAACCCTGAGACGATGGGCCTAGTGCACCTGCGTGGCGTAGCGGTTTGCATGACAAGTCTGGTCGACTACTGCTAATCAGTGGAGTGTTAATTCCTAACTAAATAACTGGGTGGCTAAATAACCAAACAGTGGTTGCACTGTCTAAAACTTAGAGTACCCTAACAATTTTTATGACCGATATATTCTGCGGCCTCCTTCAGTTATAACATACTGAAATAAGGTGAAAGATTTTTTTTCTTTTCAGTTTTTCAAAAAACACTTGGAATGATTAGGATGTTTTCCGCAATTATAATCAATATCTTCCATTTCTGTTATGCAAACCCGGATTCGGATTTCCATGCAGCCTCCAGGATTAAAGATATTTGTTTTCGGAAGGTATAATCCTGTTGCTACATTTTTAATTTGACCCCTTTTTTGCACTCCCTGAAACGTTACTAACAGTAATATTTATCGACCGGAAAAAATTGAAAAGCGAAGAAAAAAAAAGCTGAAATAAACCTTCAGAGACGTTTCGACTTGAAGTTACACTGTAAATCATAGTGGTTTCTCATCTTCAGCACGGATGCTCATTTTCAACCATGCCCGTCTACTCAGCCCCATTTGTGTTTCTTCAACACCCTCAGAGCCTACTCCAGGATTACATATTTTGCTGTAGAGTAGAACTCAGCGTACTTCCTGCTCTTCCCTACTACTGTGACTAAGGACTGCTTCTATTTATAAATATAGCAAGTAGCCACATTAGAATAGGATTTGAGGATTAGTTGATTTACTCAAGTTTTTCCATTCTCTGTATGAGTATTTAATAAACCTCTCCTTTGTTTTCTCTACATAGTCTTCTGTTCCTTCGATACTCTCTCCAAATACGGCCTTCTTAATTCTGTGATATTTTAAACAAAGACAACATTACAACAATTTTAAATTCAGATTTTTCTTTCTCTTGTATTGGTTTCCAAACTCGGCTACAGGGCTAGGTCTGACCTACTATTAAACACATAGCTGGGTATAATAGACGAGTTTATAACTTTCCCAAGGGTATTTCTGCGAAAGTGAATGTAATGATTTCGATCGGGATTTGAAACCGGTTCGCCGATTTCTTGTTTCACAGATTTAGCCATAACAGCACCTACACATCCACAGAAGGAATGCAACTCACGATAAACAGTGAAGATTTTTAAAGCTGCTCTATGTCAGGAAATTTATAGTCGGCGCGCCTTAAACAATGGACAATAGTTTAAATAATAATAATAATAATAATAATAATAATAATGATAATAATAATAATGATAATAATTTATGTGCAAAAGCCTTCTCTTACAGCTGATGCAATGTTTGCCTTGGCTTCGTTGTTTTTCCCTGTATTGCATTGTCCACTGTTATCGCTTTCCCAAATATTTTCTTAAGTTCAAAAAAGCAAAAATTAAATGTTAATTTTCAACAAACATTTTTTCGGCTACAAAAAGATCTAAAATTAGGTTAAGATCTGTTTGTTTTGATAAGGGAAATCCCTACCGAAGACTAATAATGGGGAGCAGGAGGAGGAAGAGGTGAAATCAAGCATTAGATGAATAAGAAGAAATCTAATAAATTAAAAATAAAAAGGGAGACAACAGAGACCAAAAAAAATAGAAAATAAGAAGGAATATAATGAAAATGTTGAAGACAAGAAAAAGGAATGAAGAAGAAGAAGAAGAAGAAGAAGAGAAAGAGGAAAAGAAAAAGAAGAAGAAGAAGAGAAAGAGGAAAAGAAAAAGAAGAAAAAGAGGAAAAGAAAAAGAAGAAGAGAAAGAGGAAAAGAAAAAGAAGAAGAAGAAGAGAAAGAGGAAAAGAAAAAGAAGAAGAAGAAGAAGAAAAAGAGGAAAAGAAAAAGAAGAAGAAGAATGAAGAAGAAGAAGAAGAATGAAGAAGAAGAAGAAGAATGAAGAAGAAGAAGAAGAGAAAGAGGAAAAGAAGAAGAAGAAGAAGAGAAAGAGGAAAAGAAAAAGAAGAAGAAGAAGAAGAGAAAGAGGAAAAGAAAAAGAAAAGAAAAAGAACAATCAGAAGAAAAGGGGAAAACAACGGAATGTTAAGACGAAGAAAAAATGGCAAGGAGATAAAGATAAATTAATAGAGGAGAATGGAAAAGAAGAAGGAATACGAGAGAGAGAAAAAACAAAAAGAGGCGAAGGAGAAAAGAAAAAGGAAAATGGGAAGACAAACAGAAGGGGGTGAAAAACGAGAGGGTAAAAAGAAGAGAGAGAAAAAGAAGGAAAGTGAAAAGACAAAAAGAAAGAGAGAAAAACGACAAAGAAAAATACAAAAGAAGAAGAAGAAAAACAAGGGTAACACGAGGTAAAAATAAGTGGAAACAATAAAAAGAAGAGAAATAGAAAAGCAAGAAAATCAAGACAAATAAAAGACGAAAGCAGGAAAATTAAGAAAAGAAGAAGTAAAAAGAAAGAAAAAAGAAAGAAAGAAAAAAAAAGAAAAAGGCAAGAAGAGAAAGAAAAAAAGAAAAGCGAAGACAGTGAAACGAAGAGAGAACGCTATGAATACATACAGAATAACAGGCGGAAATCAAGAAGAAAAACAGCGAGAAAAAGAAAATGAATGACAAGAAAAACAAAAACAAGACAAAAAAAGGAAAAACAGAAAAAGAAAAGAACAAAAATGAAACAAAAAACATCAGAAAAAAAAACAAAGTTTAGATAAACAAGAACAACAAAAAGTAAACGAGGAAAGGAAAAAAGAAAACGTAAAAAAAATGTAATTAAATGTAAAAGAACGACAATTTGCTATAAAACAGAATACATTAAAATAGACTACAGAATACAGTAAAATAGACAACCCAATGTTAGAGTTATGTAAAGGTAAGAATAATCAAGAGTGGTCTCCCCTTGTTTTGTTACTCTCCTCTTTGAGAGATCTATTTCTCTTTACTGGGACTATAAAAGGACACTATACGCGAACCTTGTATTCTTAGTTGAATAAAGCTTTCTTAAAGCCTACACCTGCGTACTTACATAGAAGGCGTCAAAATCGAGCAATTGCAGAATTAAAAAAAGAGAAAGACTATTTAGGAAGAGGTGCTGAAAAGTTCTAAGTCCCACCTACTTCCTAAAATCAGTATTCTGATGTTTAGTCAATAGGGTACTGATTTTGGAAAGTGAAGTCTAGACACTTTTAGCACCCACCTCTTACAAATTAATAAAGAAAACATACTCTTCGTCCAGTACAGAGCTGACTTTAATGTTTCTAATCATTGCTCGAGTCTTGACAAAGGCAGATGTTAAAGACATTCCATGTCAAGTATATCGTTTCCCCATAACACGATCAGCGCTACACCTATTTTTATTCTTCTCCAAATAGTCGCTACATTCCTGTACTTGTAAAATCTGTGACACTGGTAAATAAGAAAAATAAAAAAGCAAAAAAAAAAAAACTTTAAAAAAAAGCAAAAGAAAAAAATAACCTACAATAATAACAACAATAACAAGAGGGAAGTCGAGTCTAAACGTAAACAATATTTGACAATGACAAAAACAACGCTGACAACAAAAACAATAACAAAAAATAGTTTAATGGGAGGATGCGAACTCCCCCACCAGCACCATCCCCCGTCTTCTGGAACCACCGCTCGCTGCAATCCCCCACACCCCATAATACAATATCAAAAACAAGTTCAGATTCTTCTTACATCCTTCGTTAAGAGCTCCATTCAATTAAGATCGAGTTCTCTATTTGCTGTTTTCCCGCCATGCCCCAGGGAGTACCAAACTCTTCAGCATTCACCTTTTTTTTTTTTTTTTTTGCTAACCTTCCTCCGTTCTATCAACCCACTCTCTTAAAAAATTTAGCCATTTCTTTTCCGAATGTATGTATATATATATATATATATAGATAGATAGATAGATAGATAGATAGATAGATAGATAGATAGATAGATAGATAGATAGATGTATGTGTGTGTGTGTGTGCGTGCGTGTGTGCCTGTCAAAGACAGAAACCAGTATGTCTTGGCTGCTCACATACTTTTGGGGAGAAGAAGACTGATATTTTTACTGTTTAACTTTTCTTAAATCAGTCTCTATCTTCCCCTCATTCCCACCTTTCTCTCTATTTCTATCTCTCTCTTTCATCCTCTCTCCTTTTTTTTTCTTTTTTTCTTTTCTTTTATTTCTTTCTTTTATTTACTTTCTTTCCTTCTTTTTTAATTTCATCATTTCTATCTATCTATCTATCTATCTATCTATCTATCTCAGTCTTTTTTATTTCTATCTAATTTTCACGCCCTTTTTCTTCCTCTTTCTTTATAAAAAAATGGCTGCTGAAAAACTTTTAAGAAGGGGTTAAAAATTATTTCTTCCCTACTCTCTCTCTCTCTCTCTCTCTCTCTCTTTCTCTCGCTCTCGCTCGCTCGCTCTCCGCTCATCTATTTATCTATCTATCTATCTATGTAAATTCCGATGACTCTTCCCTCTTATTGATAAGAATGACTGCTAAAAGGTTTTCAGCTCGACCAACAGGGTTTTACAAATCTTTGAAAGTCAAAGGTACATATAATCAATTTTATATACAGTTTATATATTGTGTCTATTGAAATTATTCATCGTCATTTCGAAATTGCGAATCTCTTTTTGCAACTTGGTTTTTGCTTGTGTAAAATATATGCGAAATTGAGTTTATGCCCAAGCATTCAACTTGCATTGCCGTTGCACGTTGCCCAAGCATTCAACTTGCATTGCCATTGCACGTTGCCCAAGCATTCAATTTGCACTGCCGTTGCACGTTGCCCAAGCATTCAACTTGCATTGCCGTTGCACGTTGCCCAAGCATTCAACTTGCATTGCCGTTGCACGTTGCTGGCGTGCCATTCTGAGTTCTGGTTTATCGGATTCGATTTCAAACAAAATGTGACAAAATCAAACCAATGCGCCATATTAATCACCTTCGATTTTCTTTCATTTACTTTACTTTTTGACGTCCTGAGGATGACTCAAATGAGTTGAAACATTGAACATAACATTAATTTCGGACATATTTTTACATCCAATATCGAGAAATCTTATTAAAGCAAAACATGCGCTCTCCGACGTCCTCCTTAATCATCGAAGCATTTCGTGACTGAGGCGGTCTAAGGTACGTAGGATCTAACGACGGTTTCTTATGTATATTGGGTCGATGGTTCGTTTCCTGTCGGTGATATATTTTTTTCAGGCCGGTAGACGAAAATAAATAAATATACTTTTATTTTTCTTATGATTCATTTTTATATATTTTATATATATTGATGTATAATAAATCCTTTTTGTTGTATTTGTTATTAAGCAATATTTCCATATTTCCAAGACATGTTCAGATTAACTGCTTAGCTGGATAATCCGTTTATCTTATGTGAAAAGGTTAAATTACAAAATAACAACAGAGCACAACTGACACACTTATTAAACACTTATTACTAACTTATATATTTATTAAACACTTAGTCACTTATTAAACACTTATTATACACTTATTAAACACTTATTAGTCATTTATTAGTCACTTATTAAACACTTATTAATCACTTATTAAACACTTATTAGTCACTTATTAATTATTTATTAAACACTTATTTACCATTTATTAGTCACTTATTAAACACTTATTCACCCATTAAACATTTATTAATCATTTATTAGTCAATTATTAAACACTTATTAGTCATTTATTAGTCACTTATTAAACACTTATGAATCACTTATTAAATACATATTAAACACTTATTAGTGATTTATTAATTATTAAACACTTATTAGTCATTTATTAGTCACTTATTAAACACTTATTAATCACTTATTAAATACATATTAAACACTTATTAGTGATTTATTAATTATTAAACACTTATTAGTCATTTATTAGTCACTTATTAAACACTTATTAATCACTTATTAATCACTTATTAGTCACTTATTAATCATTTATTAAACACTTATTTGCCATTTATTAGTCACTTATTAAACACTTATTCACTCATTAAACATTTATTAATCATTTATTAGTCACTTATTAAACACTAATTAGTCATTTATTAGTCACTTATTAAATACTTATGAATCACTTATTAGATACATATTAAACACTTATTAGTGATTTGTTAATTATTAAACAGTTATTAGTCATTTATTAGTCTCTTATTAAACACTTTTTAATCACTTATTGAATACTTATTAGTGACTTATTAATCACTTATTAGTCATTTAAACACTTGTTAAATACCTGGTATTCCTTTTAAACTACGATAAATTATAATTAAATTATTAAATAATTAATCAAACAACTAAACAAACAATTAAACAATTACTCAACCAATTAGGTTAATTCTTAAACACTTATTAAACACCTCCTATGTTGAAGGATGATATTAAAAACACTTGCTGCTAAGTACGATAATATTGCAGTAAAACACAATGAGTAAATAAACTTTTTTAATAATCGTTTTCTTTTAATGTCTTTTTGTTGTTTGTTATTTTAACAGAGACATATAATTAATTCCATGGTTTTAATGTAATTCTTATAATTAACACTTGTTTTAAGGCGAGTCTTAATGCTTTAAAAACCTATAATTAATACCGATTTTTTAGAAACCTGCAATACTTTTTTATTTTTATAAGCCTCTAATTAATATAGTAATTTTATTTTACTCTTCGTAATTATTAACAGATTTTACGGATAGAATTAATGGCCTATAGGCATAAACTTTAAACGGACTTTCATATAACTCTATGAGTGCGTAAACCTATAATTATAATGTATATTTTTTTATTATTTTTATATTAATTTTTTCTTTTCTTTTTTCAATCATTTCACCCCAAGCAAGACAGTAAATCGACTAAAAGGCTAGGAGGTGACTAAGTGCTAGAGAATATTAAAAAAACTACTATTAAAGTGAGAGGACAATGAAAGAATAAGAATTAACAAGACAGAAGATAACAATTTACATTACATTTAAAATTCTGAAGATCTAAGTTGATTGGGAAGCAAGAAGCCGGAAGAGAGCTCCACAAGCGAGAAGTGCGATAGATGAAACTGCTAGCATAGAACTTACGGTCACATCTTGCTATCTCAACTGTAAACTGAAGAGACCTTGACACCAATCTACGTGCAATAGGAAAGAGTAAAGTTCATCAGAACAATTACCATGAAAATATTTATAGAAAAGGTACTGGGAAGCTACGTTACGGCGGTATAAAAAGGACGGAATCCGAGATGCCAGGTCAGGACCAATAACATTAATGATTCTTTGGATTTTATCAAGGATCTCTAAATATATAACAGGAGCAAAAGATCAGATGTGTCAATAATATTCAAAGCAAGGACGAATGGTAGATCTATAAATATGTAAAATAGATTCTGACAATAATTTCTTTTATCACGACATAGTGAACCTACTTTCTTAGCTATGGATTTAGCAATTGATTCAATATAATCTTTCCACTTCATGTCAGCGGCAAACATTAACCCGAGAAGCGGCAATGAGGCGCTCCCCTGGAGGTTAGCATCAGCTATTCCGATGTAAGGTAAAAAAGGTTCGCTCAGATTATTAAAAGAGAGTAGTTTCGTTTTTGAAATACCAGGTTTTTATTTTTATTTTTGCAATTAATATCAGGTTTGACGGTGACAATTATTGGATTATATGTTATATCAACTTTAATGGGTTATTTAATGCCGACAAGATTTTTACGATAGACTCGTATGAATAAAATATTTATTCTTTGTAAGAAATCGGTTTTGTAGATTAAGTTTTATTGATGTATTTTTGTAAAGAGGATTTTTGTCAAGAGTCTTGTTTCATTGATGTATTTTTGGATATACAGTTTATAGAGAAATTGATGTATTTTTGGATATACAGTTTATAGAGAAATTGATTTTATTGGTTTGGTTTGTTTTGTTTTTTTTACGGTATATCAACCTAAATAAACCTATTTAGTGCCAACAAGATTTTTATGGTTGGTAATATTTTTTTCCTTAAAAAATGTATTGCTGGTAATATTTTTTCCAAAAATGTATTGCTGGTAATAATTTTTTCCAAAAATGTATTGCTGGTAATAATTTTTTTCCAAAATGTATTGCTGGTAATAATTTTTCCCACTTTTTCTTTGCAAACCTTGTCGCCGACTGAATCCTATGCAGAAGGATAAGAACACCGAAAATGGGCCACTCTCAGAATGGATACTTACAGGCTAGTGTATAAATCAGATCTTTCTTTCTCTACCGTTCTATTCTAATGTAAACCGGACCTATGTCTAACATTCTGACTTTAGAGTAAAACTGGACCTACGTCTATCTATTCGACTTTAACCTAAAATCGGGCTTTTATCTACCTTTTTGATTTTAATGTAATCTGGAGTTGTGTCAATATTTCTGGCTCAAGTGTAAATCTGAATTAATTTCTACATTTTTCACCCTAGTATAAATCAGACCTATGTTGAACTTTTTGCCTCTCGTGTAAACGGGATCTATATTTTTTTTAAACAAATCACTCCAAGCAAGGCGGGAGTGCCACTAGCACGCAAGGGGTTACAGACAGTGAGAGTAAGAGTAAAGAGGAGTGTTTTGGAAATGGATAAAGAGAAGGACAGGAAGCAAGGTCAAGGCATCAGAAGATGTCGATTGACATTACATTTAAATATTTGAAGATTATAGCTATCAGGGAAGCAAGTGATAGGAAGGGAGTTCCATTGACGAAAGGTGCGAGATAAGAAGTTGTTGGAGTAGGAGAAATGGCTACATCTAACCGTTTCGACAATGAAAGGGTGGGACCGAAATGCCAACCTAGTAGCACGCTGCAATTCATGCAATTTGGGAACCATTAAAAGTAGATCGTCAGAGGATGAAAATACTTTAGAAAAGTCAGAGGACAGAATGCCTGTGAGATAGCGACTGCAGACCGGATGCCAGAAGGACCAACCACGTTGCATATCCGTCTCTGGATTCTGTCGAGGACCTCGAGATGAACAGCGGGAGCACCAGACCATATATGGCAGCAGCATTCCATGCAAGGATGATTTGTAGATTTGAAGGATGAACTCAGACGAGAAAAAGAAACCTTCTGGTGTGACACAGAGAACCAACTTTCCTTGCGGTGGATGAAGCTATATATTCAATATAATCGTTCCACTTCAGGTACCGTTTTTATGTTATTAAATCACCAATCTAACGGAAACTAATTTTAATTCTTTCCAATATTTAAAACTGTTGTTGTTCCATGTGTAAAATCTGAAATCTTATTTTTTTTATCACAAAATGCCCTAATATTGTGGTCTTGTATCAGACTAAGGTAAGCTTAATATCTCTGGATCTCTCAAATTTCTTTGTGGCTGAAATAGTAACGTATTGCGCAAATGAGCCAATTCTTTTATTCAGATACGAGTAAAAACCTTGTTTACGTATGCTGGTTTTCAAGGTAGACAAGCTCTCTCTACTAGAAATAATCATAAACTTTCATTCTCTTGTTTATCCTTGTGACAGACTTTACGGTACTCTTAGCTGAAAATCAAAAGCCAAATAAAAAATGAAATCCGTTATTACCGCCAAAATGGAGATATATACTGACGATTGCATCTAGGGACTAACTACTTTATATATATATATATATATATATATATATATAAATATGCATAAATTAACATCTAACTATTAATAAAAAATGTTAAATTTTCAGAAAAATGTTTATTTTCAGTGTCTATACGCATATGCCGGGTGATTCTATTCAATTTTCTTTTTAAATAAGACTCCTGCTTAAGCACTGAACCTACGACTTCCAAGCCGTCATACAAAGTAGACAAAATGAACTGGTGTTTTCATCTCTAGAGAAATAATTGACCACTAAGGTTCTTTTCTTCTTCTTTTTTTTAATCGCTTGGAAAAACGTAGTCTCATATAAATGAAAGGATGAAACAATCCTTAATTATATCCGGATAAAATCAAAGGTTCCATTGATAATTTGCTGAAGATTACCGGATAGATGTAATACACATCTGAAGAAGGTCGGCGGACAACGGGTCGAAACGTTTTGAGAAAAACAAAGACACGAATGCGAATCCGAAAGAATAATTGAATTAACATTCTTTTATGCCAATGCACTTATTTCTTTCACGATCTTCGCTTTTTTTTAATTTCTACTAACGCGAAAATCATCGCATTCTTCGACTGTCTTCACTTTTAACATTGTTTGTCTAAAGGCTCACTCCTTTTCTCCTTTTGTCACATCTTTTTCTTTCTCTGATTATTGTCCTCTTTCTTTATCCATCTATCTCCTCACTTTTATCCATCTCTCTCTATATATATATCCGTCAGCCTATCTTCTCTCTCTTTGTTCATCTATTTACCTCCAAACCATATTTCTTTCTTTCTTTTCTTTTTTCTTTCTCTTTCTTTCATTCTTTCTTTCTTTCTTTCTTCCTTTCTTTCTTTCTTTCTTTATTCCCAACCCACAATCCGTCTCTTCTTTCTTTCTTTCTTTCTTTCTTTCTTTCTTTGTTTTCCTAATCTACAATCTGCCTCCTTACTTTTTCCTTGTTTCTTTTCTTAAGTAACAAAGTCTCCTTCCTTTATGTCTTTCATTTCCTTTCTTTTTATCTTTTCTCAATTCAAAATTCCATTCTCTCGACTGCTTTCTCTTTCTTTCTTTCCTTCTTTCCTTCCTTCTTCCTTGTTTTCTTTCTTTTTCCAATCCTCAACTTTTCTTTCGTTTTATTTTCCTTCTTTCTTAAGTAACAATTTGCTTTACTTGATTTTTTTCCCTTCTATTTCTTCTCTCTCCCTCTCTTTCTTTCTTTCTGTTCCCAATCCACAATCTACCATTTCTTCTTTCTTTCTTTTTTTCTTTCTTTCTTTCTTTCTTTCTTTCTTTTTATACTCTCTCCCCTTTATTTTTCCTTGAAGAAGAAAAGCTTAATCATTCGCCTGTTCTTTACACTATAGCAATATAAATATTCTTGTACAACCTCCTCAGTTTTTCTTTTCTTTCTTTCTTTCTTTCTTTCTTTCTTTCTTTCTTTCTTTTGATACTCTCTTCCCTTTATTTTTCCTTGCATTTATTTGCTTTATTTTCTGTTTTATTTGTATACAACACCTTTTTCTTTCTTTCTTTCTTTCTTTCTTTCTTTCTTTAGTAACAATGTTCTCTTTCTTGATGCCTCTCATTTTTTTCTTTTTATCTTTTCTCACTTCAAAATTTCATGGCCTTTTCTTTCTTACTTTTTCTTTTTTCTCTCTCTCTCTCTCTTCTCTTGTCCTTTTCTTTCGTTTTATTTTCCTTCTTTCTTAAGTAACATTCTGCCTTTTCTTGATGATTTTCGCTTTCTCTCTTTTTCTTTCTCTCCTTCCCTCTCCCTCTCTTTCTTTCTTTCTTTCTTTCTTTCTTTCTTTCTTTCTTTCCGTCTTTCTTTTCATAAGTAATAATGCACCCTATCTTGATGGTTTTCGCTTTCTTTCTTTCTTCACTTCTTTCTTAATTCACAGTTTCCCTTTTTTGATTGCCTTCTTTCTATCTATCTATCTATCTATCTATCTATCTATCTATCTATCTATCTATCTATCTTTCTTTCTTTCTTTCTTTCTCTTTCCCGCCTTCTCTCTTAATATTTTCAGCTCTCTTGATTTTAAATCCGTTTTCTCTTTTTTTGTTGTTTTTTTTCCCTTTCCACTCGCCCCACTCTATCTGATCTGCCCCCATCCTGCTGCTCAGTCACCAACCGACCTTCCTCAACCCCGGCATCTCGATCACCTCCACCAATTCCCATTTCCCGCGCTCCACATTCCGGCTCGTCGGTTTCTCTTTTCGTCCGTCAATTCCATGTCACCACTCTTTGTCTTCAAGTAACTGTAAACATGTTTTTAAGAGAAAAACGCGCGACACAAATGTGATCGAACCGATCCCGATTTGATCTGAAAGAACTTGGCAAGCCGCTTATCGATGGAAGCCATTATGGGTCAGTTATCATGTCGACTGAGTCCTAAATAATTCGGTAGAAAAGCTTCCAATGTTATCCATATATAACACAATTATTATCATTATTTATCTATTTATTTATTAGGTGTGTGCAAATGTTACCAGCGAATAAATTGTTTTTTTTACCTGTGTATTCAGTCTCTGGAACTAGAAATAGCGCCAGGAATTTACACACACACACACATATATATATATATATATATATATATGTGTGTGTGTGTGTGTGTGTGTGTGTGTGTGTGTGTGTGTGTGAAGAAATCATAGAAGTCAACACTTAGGTGGCCTGACGATTGCATCTCGCACGAAACAGACTGTCGCCTCTAAGTGTTGCCCTCTATGTTCACTTTTATATTGATATATATATATATATATATATATATATGTGTGTGTGTGTGTGTGTGTGTGTGTGTGTGTGTGTGTGTGTGTATTTAGCATGCACATTTCATTGAATACGACAGACAAGGTGCTTTTATTTAGTTTTTTATACAATTTCTCATGCGATTTAATTTTTTTTTTCTTTTCAGATGATAAATTATATAAAAACTGTCTGAATGTTTTTGTTATCTGAGCGCTTTCGGCTATACATTTAGCCATTTTCAATGATTAAATATTTTAACTGTTAATTAAGAAATAGTTTTTTGTATGTATGTTTTCATTTTTCAAAAAAATAATATTAACTTTGAACATGGACACAATATATTGACCGTCATTCAACAATACTAGGGAACAATTTAACGATTTGTTCAAGTAGACATAAATTTATCAGAAACGGATCTAAAAAAATAATTTTTAATATTCTCAGGATGCTTTTCAAAAGGGCCTATAGGTAAAATTAAATAAGTGGAAACGCCTATGTAGTTTGTTAATTATACTAAATAGACGGAAAACACGACAATATTATAGTTGAATAAATCAAATGAATGTTGGGTAGACCATTATATATTAATAAAATAATGGTTATATACTTATAATACGTATAATTTATGAAAAAATCTTTAACTATATTTTAAGGTAAAAGGTAGACAATGACGACAAAGCACCGTTAATTCATTTCTTTGGTTTAACAGGTTTTTAGTGTTAGGAAAATTTATATGTAATTTTTCTTGTAAACATAGGGGACATGGATCATGTATGAATTTACAGGTTCTAGTTATTTTTAATATTTTCCTTTTTTACCGAAGGAGTTTTGTTAACTACTTTTAAGTGCCAAAAATTTTAGAATATATATATATATATATATATGGAGAGAGAGAGAGAGAGAGAGAGAGATCATAAAATATAGTTTTAAAGTATACTATATTTCTGGGTTAATGTGCTCAATATCAGGGATAGAATGTATGTAAATATAAAAGTGGATATTAAATTCAACACCCACAGACGACAGTCTTTTTTATGCTTATACGCAACTGTCAAGTCTGACGATTGGTGTTGACTTCAATATCCAGGGTGTTGACTTCAATATCCACTTATATATATATATATATATATATATATATATATATCCAGTTACCTTGATCTATCCACTATCCCTCTCCTCATTCTTTCTTCTATCACTCCTATCTGCTCTCGCTCCAAATCTTCTGTAACCCCCCTGCATTCTAGTGGCTTCACGCCTTGCTCAGGGAGTAATGCTTAAATATATATATATATATATATATATATATATATATATATATATATATGTGTGTGTGTGTGTGTGTATAAATAAAAAGAAAAGAACAGTAAGATATATAATCCGGTATTCTTATAGATATCTTTATTTTTACAAAATAGTGCTCAATGTAAATTTACAGAACATTAATATTACTACAAAATTCGCTTGAGGATGAAATGGAACTAATGTCTTTAATTTAATTACAAAATTAAATTCAGGGCTTTTAGCTTCCATTTTGAAACATGGTTAGAACTGTTTAGCGAAAAAACATATTTTAAATCAATTAATTTATATATATATATATATATATATATATATATATATATATATATATATATATATAGAGTTGCCATCTCTGTTGTTATTTTTGTTTTTTTTTTTGTTTTTTTTTTTTTTTGTTTGTTTTTTTTTTCTTAAACAGTGAAATTAATAACAACCGGCCTAGATTGAGAAGTCCGACTAAACTAAGAATTTGCCTCTGACAAGAATAGAACCTATATACACTTTTTTTTATCAGGAGAACCGTTTCGATAGCCTAAGTGTTCCTTTACCAATAGTGATCGCGGAAGCATCCTCTTGGGAGTCGGTCTTTCATTAAAGTTACATTATGAATGGGGGATGAGAATGCGTTTATATATTTTACTTCAAATACATTTTCAGCAACATTATTCATCACTGTTTTCTATTATTTCTGTTGCCTCCAAGTTAAAGATTCTTTTTTTTTTTCTTTTTTTTTTACACAGATATATTTTCATGGAAAGACCAAATATTTTAAAATAAATTTTGATCATAATTTTCACCAGGAAAACATCGTCTTAATAAAAAATAAAAGAAATAAAAATGGTTATAATTAATTCAGACGACGATGCATTGAAAGTGCCATGATCTACGCATACCCTAAAACTGATATAGGCCCGGGCTGTTTCAATAAAATATTCGACGAGACTTAAACAATATTAGATACGTAATCCTTAAAATAAAGAAAACATAAAAACTGAGTTGAGAGTAGTTAGATACTTATTTATAAAATGATGCACACACATACACACGCACGCACGAATACACACACACATAAGGTTAATGGTCAGATATGAATCAGATCAGGAAACAGTAGTATTAAAAAGTGCTCAATACACGTGTGAAAAAATAAAATAAAGTAAAAAAAAAAATTAGAGATTTTAACTTTAAATATCAGGAGGTAAATTGACTCCTCTACCTTGGTTTCAACCTTACGATATGCTCAGGTAAATTTATCAAATGACCTCTTAACGCTTTATTTTTTAAATACTAATTAACGTTATATTATTATTTTCAAAAATAAATAAACAAACGCACAACGTAGGGTGTAATAGAATGGGAAGAAGACATTATATAACGTCTATTATAATATGTTTCGTGGTTGAATTGGTGTCATCATAAAAAATAATCTTATTTCAACATATTGAAATTTGTGGAACATAAAATGAACTTATAATTAGTTTATATGTCAACGAAAACTTCGTAATCACAATTTTGTCGTGGAATATGCTGAGCTAATGAAATGGGAAAAAGAATTCAATCAAACAAAGATATATTGAAAGTGCCATGATCTGTGAAAAACCTAGACGACCAAACTGTTTTAATTCATTGCCTGTTATATCTAACAGGAGGTTCGAGGAATTATGATCCTCACTAAGACCTACAGGCTTCATTTGCTCAAAGCCACTTCTAATTATTGATCTTAGAAAGCGGTTGTATACAGCTGACAGTTTAGATAATAGCTGAACGGGTCTAGCACCGCATAAGATCTGACGAGGCAAGTTAAAAACATGAGTTTCCAGATTAATGTTTTGGCTTTATAGGAGTGTTGTGTCATTAGTTCCTATTCTTTTTTTTTTAATTCAAGTATTTATTACTGCTAAAATTTCAATTCCAGATCATAGTTTTGTTTTGGAAAGGTTTATCAAATTCAGTCAGTGTCGTTATTGTTAGATATCAGTCAATAAAAAATTATGTTATACACACTTAGGCGATCATGTCTCTTCCTGATCGATTGACATTCATATGATTCTACTGGACATAAAGTGGGGGATCGGGGATCATTTTCCTAAATTGATCGCCCTAAAACAGTTATGTGCCATGCAAACTAGGGTGATTCTACTGGACACTAAAATTTTCATTGTCTAAACTGATCGCCCTAAAATTCATGTGCCATGCATTATACGCTTAGGTGATCATGTCTCTTCCGATTGACATTCATAGGATTCTACTGGACATAAAGTGAGGGATCATTTTCCTATTGTCATTTACTACTAAACTGATCCCCCAAAATTCAGTCAGTTATGTGCCATCCGTTATACACGCTTAGGTGATCATGTCTCTTCCCGATTGACATTCATATGATTCTACTGGACATAAAGTGAGGGATTGGTTTCCTATCGTCATTTAGTACTAAACTGATCGCCCTAAAATTCAGTCAGTTATGTGCCATGCGTGACACACGCTTAGGCGATCATGTCTCTTCCCGA